ACACCCCTGAACTGATGACTGCAAGCTGAAGGAAAGTCCAGTTTCTAAAAATGTGTTTCTCAGCAGGCCCAGACTTCAGGCCTGTACCCAGGGCCACTCCTGCACTTGGTTAGGAGGAAAACCAGTTAGGTGATCGACCTTATTTTACTTGAAAATTGCTAGGCCACAAATTTGGCTAGCCTCCACAGCTGGAATTCAAGCAACTCAGAAAAAGGATGTAGGCATAGGCATTGGGGCCTGGCCAGTGCCTTCGGGGAAGGACAGCTGCTAGGGCTGACTGGGGGAGATGGGTCCGCCTGCAGGGCCCATAATCCTACCCTTCAACGTTTGCCAACAAGCTTTCAAGGCTGGCATTCTCTGCTTGGAGGAAGTCTTTCTCACTGGAGAGTGGGAGTACTGTGTACCTCAAGCCCTTCCATTTGCTATTCCTGGGGTATGTCTCAGATTTTGGGTCTGTGTGGTTAGGTTCTACCTTTAAGGCCATCACGGACCAGGCCAGATGCTGCTTAGGCTGTAAGGAATGGGAAAGCTAGGTCTTAAGGGAAAAGTCAATCTAGGAAAGGTATTTCCTTTAGAGTTGTTTGTGAATGTGCCAAGCCACGATGGAGAGAAGATAGCACAGCCAGGAGAGAAACCAGTGTCAAAAGCTGGGGGAGTTTAGAGTGCTTATTCGGCTGCAGGGACAATGCAAGGACGTATGGTAAATTGACATCAAAGTTGCTGGCCAGGTGGGTAAGAAGATGGAACAAAGGGTATCATGGTTTTGGTGTAGTAGTTCAGGAAACGTGGCATATGAAAAAGTATTTATTTTATTTGAAGCCTGGTGTGTGATTCAGGGGGAGAGCTGCTTATTAAAGGCACCACAAAAGGATGAACAATAGGAAGGGAGATGGTTTACTTTGCTTGCCTGCAGATGCGCTCTCCACTCTGCTCTGCCCTGCTCTGTGCCCTAGAAGGCTGACCTCTATGGATTCCATCACCTGGGCTCCCTGTCCTTCTGGCTTCCACTTCGCTCAGCCAATTGGATGCACTAACAGGAGATTGGAGGGCAGAAGGGAGAGAAGCCTGATCCCTCCCATCCCTACTTGCCATGTTTCTGGCCGTGGTCTTACCTTTCCATAATCACAGCTCCTCCCAAGCAGTTCTTCTCCCACAGCTCCAGTTCTCAACCTGGTTCCAGTTCCATCATTTTATCCTGCTTATCCGGGCTTTGGGCTGGCCTTCCTTTCTTGCTAGGCCCATTGTTGCTACTAGTGCCACAGCTTCCCTTAACCCTGCTCAGACCTCTAGAAGTAGCCTGTCTATTATTATAAGGTTTCTTCAAGAACCCCAGCTGTATGTGGCTCCTTTTGCTAGGGTCCTGACTGATACAGAGGTTTCTACTGCATTGGCAGTCATGCTTTTTGCCGCTTCCTATTTTACTGCCTTCATCATTCAGCATTGCTCAGTATAGCCGTAGGCGTTACTCCCCTGGCTTATTTGACAGTGTTTTCCAAAGTCAAGGCACCATCAGATGGTTCTGTGGAAAGAGCACAGATCTGGAGGCTGTAGGGCTTGGCTTCAATCCTGGGCTCTGCACTTGTGGTTTTGTCTTTGGATCCTTCACTTAAATTATTTTTAGCTTCAGTGTTCTCTTCTGTAAGAGGGATGTAATAATGCCCGCCTTGCCTAGTTCAGGAGCCCTGGTGGTGCAGTGGTTAAGAGATCAGCTGATAACTAAAAGTTGGCTATTCGAATCCACCAGCTGCTCCTTGGAAACCCTATGGGGCAGTTCTACTCTGTCCTATAGGGTTTCTATGAGTCAGAATCAACTTGACGGCAACAAGTTTTTGCCTAGTTTAGGGCTGTAGTGAAGCTCAGATGAACTATTTGTAAAATGTAATATAAATGAATTTTTAATTCACAGTCTGGTCTTTGGCTCACAACAGCATTCACTTTGATAGTCCTCAGGACTATTACTGTTGTTAGTTGTCGAGTAGGCTCCAAATCATGGTAACCCCATGCACAACAGAACAAAACCTTGCCCAGTTCTGTGCCATCTTCATAATAATTGGTATGCTTGAGTCCGTTGTTGCAGCCACTGTGTATTTTGAGTACCTCCCAACCTAGGAGGCTCATCGTCCAACAATATTTTGTTGTGATCGATAGAGTTTTCATTGGCTAATTTTCAGAATTGGATCAGGCCTTTCTTCCTAGTCTGTCTTAGTCTGGAAGCTCTGCTAAAACCAGTCCACCATGGGTAACCCTGCTGAGATTTGAAATATCAGTGGCCTAGCTTCCAGCATCATAGCAAC